TATGACATGATTTCTGTCAAGTTATTTTTATGCCAGTAGCTATTTGGATGTGGTCAGTTTTCCTCTTATGTCCCCATACCTTATCATATAGTGACTCATACTGATAACACACTGTGAGAATTATCAAAAAAGTAAGGAAAAGATATCTTATCCAACTCAATAATATAATTCCTATATAACACACCAAAAACCATCAGATTTAGGCAAGGTTTAAGGGGAATGAAGCAGGCATTGTTTGAAAAGAACCATTACTAGCTATATAGATTTATGATAAATACCCTGTCATTACCCATAGGTCTAATAACTAGCCAAATCTTTTCCAGGGCATCAAACATATAAAGTGGTATCACATTCTATATATAGCATCAAATCACTGAACTAGTGTATATAGCCATCTGTATGATATCAAGAATGATGATATGGAATAACAGCTCTAACTGGACTGGGTAATTATGGTCCTAATCACAATGTAACTGGTGTTAATTTATTTAATTTCCTTTATTCATGCAAAGTCAACAAGATTAACTGTTGCCAATAATTCTATGACTGTGTATCTTCCCCTCTTTTTAACTATAGCCTGCTGCTGCCACTACTATAATTGTGCATGCACATGTGCACGCACACACAAAGTGACACACACATTATCAACCTGTAACTTTTACAAATTGGGAAATTTTAAGGTCATAACTTGCTATTTCCTCACCCTACTCTCCTTCCTTCCATATGTACTTCCATGTGTACTTTTATACCCGAGTATTAGTCTCAATACATTTTAGCATAACAAGGCTCATGCCAAATTTTCATCAAAATTCTTACACAATTCATAGGGAAAAGGAAATACAGCACCTCAATTTTTCAATTTCTTTTCACGAGAAGAGAATAAATGAAAAAAAATAACCAAGTATAAAAAATCTCATGAACAGTGGCATAATCCAGGATAATTATAATCCTACTTACTGCAGGGACAGGTGGGGGTTTATTGCTGTGTCCAATGGCTGGTTTCTCCCCAGGTTTAGGTGGTCTGGGTGGTGGTGGGGGTGGGGGCATATCATCATCATCAGGCGCTGGGGGCGGGGCAGGCCTACGTCCTGGTGGTGGAGGCACTGGAAATAAACAAAAGTGTTACAGTCTGTACCAAAACCACTTTTTTTAACAGTGTTTCTTGATATATATATACAATAATAAATTATGTAAGATCATAAGTGTCTATGTAATACTTGTCAAAATGTACATTTTGGCAAACTGTATTTTTTTTTATGTTGGGTTGCAATAAATAACATCTGTAAAGAAATATTCTAATACATAACTGCAGTCTCTGTCCCTGCCCTAATGACAAATCCTTATTCCAAATAATCACATCCTAAAATATTCCCCCGATTCATCAATTTGTTCAGATGCCATCTCTTCCTACATGAATTGTACCCTACTGTAACACAAGAACATAATTTATTTCATTCCTTTAATAATGCTTAGTCCCAAGCGTTGATAGAACTATAAACTATATCAACTCACTTGGCTCAACACTGCTGTGTGACAAACGTCTCTTCACAGACGCATAGAATTTCACAACAGCATCCATTTCCTTTAGGACCAGCAGAAATGACCATTACAAAACCGCAGTGGACACAGATAATATCTGTTCTATATTTTCAACCATGAAGTTCCCTGTTTAACTTAGAGAATGGTTAAAATTTCCACCATGTATGTGCTTATATCGCAGCAATCTCAGTGAGAACAGCCGATGAGACAAATGAAGTGTTTATACTGAGGAATGGCTATAGTCATGTACATTAATGTTGGGACCATTAAGGAAAATTCTTTGCACTTAATGGTATCCCGGACAGAGAAAGTTGATTAACAGATTTGTAAGGGCTGTGCTGAATTATATTGAAACATCTCTCATGTGTAGTTAATAAATAATCATTAAACTCTTAATTAAATCATGGAGTCAACAGAGATTGCTTGTGTAAAAATTACCACCTATAGATCAAGTGAGTGATCTTGCACTTTACAGATAAAATAGTGCTTTTTTACTGTGGTATTCATTAAGGGGCCATTTGAAGTTTCAGATTGTTTTTTCATAAATCATGCCTACAAGATGGCTGATCAAAAGAAAAGGTCCAGCAAACATAGCTCAATGTACGCCATAGTCTTTTTTCATAAATCAAAAAAAATCTGATTACAAAAATGGGACCATGATGATAAAAAAAAGAGGTTTAATTACAGGGTCAAGAGTGATAAAGCAGACTCTGCTAGATCCTCTCAACTGAATCATTGGTTGTATGTCTGTCAAGGTCTTTGTATCTCTAACTTGAGATTATTTTCAAGAGTTATATCAAAAAAAAAAAAAAGAAAAGGAGGGCTGATAAAACTATGGATGTAAATGTTCTGAATACGCCTACATTACATTACGCACCTGTCAAAATCACCCATGCACAACAGGTGTCGCTGCATGTCATGTTTTGTAAATAATAGTTCATATATCATGTTTTTGTTGTTTTTTGTTTCTACTCAAGTAAATGTTACTTTTACATTAACAACACCATTAGCAATAAAATCTTACATCAATCTTATTTGAATATATATTTCTCCTGTTGCAAAACTTGCTTCAATCAACATTAAAATAATTGTGTTCAAAAGACTGTTTTCAACCTTCTCAAAAGATTTTTAATCACTTAACATATTTTCTTCAAGCGGAATGTTAATAGCCTCTTGTTTCCACTTTTCACATATTTGTATCCTATGCACTGTAAAAGAACATGTGGCATACTACAAGAAATGTGACATTTGAAATGTAATAAGTGGTAGTACATGTAGCAGTATGAATGTGTGTGGCAATATGGAATACATTCTCACTAGCAAGCAAAACGAGGTCCAATTTATCAGAAGAGACTGCTGGTCAAATAAACCCTCTTTGCATTCACGTTGGTATTGGCAATAATAACCCTTGTCAATAGTGTTTCCTGTTAAGCATGTGCACTATCATTCTCAGTAACCAGTGACGATATGACCATTATGGTTGGAGTACAAGTAGCAATGATTGTTATGCTATATAAATATATTAAATTTATTCATAAAAAGAAATGTTTCCACTAAAAAATGACATGTGGGACTGTACTGTGATTAACCTGCAAAAATATGATACATTGCCCACTATTGCCCATGACTTCCAAATGTAAGCATCCCATCTATACTGTGATTTTGAGTTAACTGCAATAAAACCAAGTCCAGATCTGGATTTATTTGTACCACAGTCAGGGGTATGTAGTCTGTTCACATAGGAAAAGTAACCATGATAGGACAGAGTCAGGTGTAAACCACCAGTGTGAATGGCCCTATGGTTTATAGGAAGATTCAGAAATTAGGACTGTGTAGTAGTAGTAGTATGGCTGTGTGTAGATCAAATGACTAAATGCTGTTTAATTTGTATAAATTGCATTTCCAGCAAATTCTTATCAAGTACAATGAACAAACACACACATACCCCAGTACACACACACACACACACACACACACACACACACACACCACCTTTCACTATAAGCTTAATATATCACAAGCACTTCAGGCAAAGGCAACTTCTAAACATTCTTCACTAAATTGGGAAAATATCAAGTATTAAAAGCATTTTGCCATTCTCAGTTGCTCAGTATCAACTTTTTTACCTTACTTAAAAAAGGATATCATTAAACTCCTTGTTCACAGGGACAAGTCACAGTGACTGTGTCGCTCTACTCCTGGTACTAATGTACACAAAAAGCTGCATTACATGTTCTCTGTATCACAGCAAAAATAGCAGTGTATTATTCACCTTATGATAATTAGCTAAATTTCAGGCTTTTTTTCACCTTGATAACATTCCTGAGACATCCCATGTAGACTTGGCCGCACGTTTAAAAGAAATTGCAGTATATTATTCACCTTATGATAATTAGCTAAAGTTCAGGCTCTTTTCACCTTGATAACATTTCTGTGATATCCTATGTTTTATTGTGCCCTAGTTCATTCAGTAAATTACATGTGGTCATAAAAAGGAAATAAAATCTGCAAATTAAATTCTGTTATCAGACATGACCTAGTTGAAGTTTGACAATTTTACCCGATAAAACAAACTGCTGGAAATTAGACAACCTGTAAATGTGACTTGTATAACTTCTTAATTACCAAGTATTGGGTATATGAGCCCTACCTTCTCCCCTCATCATTCCAAAATATTCTCTGTGTATGATTTTAAAATATTATCTGTGTATATCCAGAAACAAGGTCTTGAACTTCCAGTCTTAAGCACTGCTCTACTTCTCTGTCATGGTGCAGCCCGCTGTGTCTCCTAACCCCAGCTACATGTACCACTGTAGAACAAGCTACTTCAACACTCAAGTTAACAAGATAATGAGTTACGGCCTCACAGCTATTGTGTGCTGTACGCACTCTCTCCAGTCTGAATGCAGGGTTGAAAGATTTCACACACTCATTTCTACCTGCATTGTTTTAAGAAATTTAGGTCTTTCCTCTTACTATCTTTTTATCAAATTGGTCCATTTAATGGACATTTACCATGCTGCCAAAGGGCATGTTTACCCTGTTTATGCTTGCCTTTTTTATCAGCAGCCTACCAATGTAATCAGATTTAAACTCTGACCCAGAAAATTACTTCCTTATTTTATCACTGGAATGTAACATAACAGATATATACATTTCTACTTACAGTTATTTTCCGGCTTTATATAGTCAGCGCTGTCATCTGATTCAGGCTCTGAAAGGAGAGAGTAAAATATATTTTGAACAAATTTAATTTAATTTACCTGACAGGTCATCATCTCCAATTAGATCCAGGTAAGCTGGTACATCATCAACGTCATCTTCCCACCTTTCATCTTCCTCCTCATCAAAACTATCAAAATCATCATCATCACCAGAATAATCCATTTCTTTTCTCTTTTACCTACTGACTGTTTTTCCACCTTATACCGTCCTCCCACAAGGTTGTTATACAACATGTAATTCTTTAAATGACAATGTCCTACTTTTGATTGACAAACCTCAAACTAAAAATTCCCAGTTCCAGGATGCAATAATATAGGCACTACATCATATCACCACTACTTGTGGATACAAGTACACTCCCACTGAAATATTACCAGTACCAACTTGTTTGAGTGAGTGCCATAAAGTTGTCTACGCATTTTATCTTTAGTGGTTATTTGAAAAAAAAAATGTGGTAACAATTAAGATGAATAATATTCCAAAACTCATTGACCATAGCCTTCTGAATATTGAAACAGGAAAAGGACACATTCCCTGCCTTATTACTACAGATAGTAGTTTAGATTAAACCACGGGTATGATAAATGTTGATTAAATGTCATCTCCAAGTGATGAATCGTTACAATGATATCTCCCTGCCATTGCTACCTCATGTGCTACCTCATTTCCTCACAAGTGATCTATAATTTATTGAGGATCTGGGGCACACTTACCAGGGCACATACTTCAGGGGGAAATCACACCGGGTGATTTTTTTAATATGAGCTTCTTTCTGGTTGAATCAACTGACATTTCAAATAAATAAATATATAATAATAATAAATACATTTAATAAACTGGCTGGTTATTCTTGTTTTGGATCAGTATATTATCAACACTACAAGCAGTCCACTAAGAGGTAACCTTTATATTAGCAGAGAAAACTCTAGAAATATGTGGCAAAAGTAAGAAATAAATCTTAGCTCTTGTGGAACAATTATGCACAGTGGTCTCCTTCAAACAATAGGAATCACAGATGTTTATAAAGGTTACACGCAGAAGCAAATGCACACACTCACATAGTTCCATATGCATGCAGTTTTATTCTGAAAATGCACTTCTGCATTGTGCATAGTTTAAATAGAATAAAAATATCAATAAAAGGCAAATCAAAAGGATTTCTAATAAATAATACCACATAAATAACTACAATGTAAAATAGTCCAAAAGTGCAACATCATGACCAAATATTTTATGGTTAAATTTTTACTAGAATTCTTCCAAACGAAATAATCTGAATACTTCAATCATGTAATCTGCATGAGTCATCATATACTGAATTCTTACCTTTTCATATTTTAACATCCTACTTTCCAAACTCACAATAAAATTACAGGTCAACTGATAGTGACAGTGTACTAAGACTAAGAACTCTCACTTTCATTAAGAAATCTTAGCATTTTTCTGTCTGACACTTAAAACGTTTACACAAAATTCATGTATGATGCCAAAAGAATAACCCAATAAGCTGGTTTTGAGAAAATATAAATTAACAACCCACTTTAAGAAATAGATGAAATTGTTGTTAATTCACTTTACCTTTTGACCCTTTATATATCATTGTCTTTTTAACAAGAATAACTTTACAAAGAATCTGTTCTTTTGAAAAATACTTCTGGATTCCTTTTCCAATACTTAAAATATCTTTCTTTGGCCCTAGATAAACCAGTATTGAGTAAACAACTTTAAATGGACTTCTGCAAAAATATACTGAACAGAAGTAGAGAATTTTCGTCTTAAAATTAAGACCCTATCTAGACAAATATTTTTGGCTCCAGTATTACCTTGATTGCTAGCTAATCTAGCAAAAATGGTGGGTCTCTCCTGAGCATCTAGGTAAAAGCTTTCTTCTACACTGGCTTCAGCATCAAGCTAGCAGAACAGAGGTGTTAGCAGGAATCAGAACAGTTACTTTCCAAAGGAGAAAAGTACAAATAGGGTTACATAATAAAGCATTCAAAATGTTTGAGACACATATCTGCAAGAACAGCATAAAATTGGATGAAAAAATGTAAAGTTAAAATTAAAACAGACAAATAAAGATAACAAAATAGGGTGCAAAGCAAGCAGAATATATGTATATATAAGGACTAATCTTTCATCATGCATCTATTCAAACCATTGACATTACAGTTTAAAAATTACATGTACTATGAAAGAATATATATCACAAACCAAAAGTAATGACAAAATGTAATGAAACAGTATGAAAACTCTTCACAGTTATGTAATACAGGCAAAACATTGCAACAGCTACAAAAAATTTTTTTTCATTCAAACAAAATCATACTCCCCTCCCCCTCTGAAATTTGTGTTAATCACAGGTAATTTCCTTGCATTCACTGTATATTGTGCACAAAATATCAAGAATCTTTCTCCAAACTTATAATTTAACTGAAAGAATAACTATTCAGGTGCTATGTATATTATTTAATTAATTCATTCATTAATTAATGATTGCTGGACAGAGGATTTTTTAAATTCTAAAATAATGACAAATATTTCATTAATATTCACCAAATGTGTACAAAATGGGTAAAAGGTCTTTCATTACATTTTCTAAATTACATATTAACAGTACTTCAATACTACAGTTATTAGCTAAATTGCTTTCTCTTCAGTTAGCACACAAATGAGGGCACAGTTCAATACACTTGGTTGTGAACTACAGGGAGATGTGTTAGTTGGGCTCTTTAAATCATAAGTAGGAACTGATTACTTAGAATCAATATTCTCATACTCATAAAAGGTGGGAGCAGATGTAGTAATTTCAAGAAAACACAGGAGGTGTCTTCAGTGTTTTTCTTTAACTTCATTTTTTTTTTGTAATGTTCCAAGATAGGGTATTTAGTCTACAGCTTTCTGTGTGAAACAAAATTCCAGCATGCAAACCTGTCTTTGACACCATGTATCCCCAAAATATACCTTAATAATAAGTAAGAGATAAAGAAAAAATAATAACAAACAGAAATTTTCTGTTTTTTTTTTTTAGTGAAGTTACCATTTTAGAGGTCAATACTCAGAATGACTTACTACAGGAATAGGCTTACTCAATTTAGTGTGTCCGATCACAATAGATTATTTATGAATTCTTTGTGCTCATATGTTTACATTTTCATATTGACAGATCCACATTTGTGCAATGGCTGCCAGGCATACTGTTTAAATATATGATAGTCAAAAATATCTTTTCATTTATTTGTTTATAAATCTAAACAAATCAGGGGGATAAACAGTTACCAGAAAATGTTTTATATGTAAGAGCCACTACTAAGATACATATCATGATGATATTCCTTGCAATTTCGACATCTTTTCTTGTTATCTCTGATGAATCTTAATTTCCCATCATATATAATTTAAATGTAAATTCTTCATCTAATAGTGATGTGTTTCAAAAATCAAATGTTACTGCATGTTCTTTAAAAGTGCATCTCAAAGCAGTTAAGCCGATACACAACATACATTTTGGTCCAAACCAACTTGTGAATCTCTCTCCAATTCAAGATACTTCTTATTAGCTGCTGTAAAACAAACAAGCTATACTTACGAGTAATGCTATGAAAAATATCTGAGTCTTAGCATTTGTTTAAGGAGGAACAGGTTAATAATTTGGAGGGAAATTCAAAAGGATATAACTACTGTAATCACATAGCCATAAGCCAAGTGCTTAATTTGACCTATCATTCATAAAACTGAACAAAAAGCTACATGTTCAGTCATTATCTTTTCTTTTCTTTTTTTCTTTTACTGAACTCACAAAATAACAACACTGCAAATCCAGTAAGAGAAAACTACAAGGATTATAAGGCCAGACAAGAATCCAATCCAGTTTGATCTGGTCAAAACCAGATCAGAATTCTGATCTAGACTAGGTTTAAATTTCAATCACCTGGACCAGATCAGAATTTCCATCTGGTATAAGCCAGATCAATATTGTCAACACATCATAAACGCAGTTTTTACATCTATGAAAGGGATTTTAGCTTAAATGTAATACTGGTGCAATCACAAATATGTATTTCAGAACTGGATAAAGTGCTGGTTTCTTTTTATTTGAATGTGAAATAAAGTTAGAACTATTCAGGATACAGACAACACTAACTCACAAAATAAAACAGTTCCTTTTTATTTAGGTTTTGATGGAGTTATTTACTTAAATGTTATTAAGTGACAAGGAAATTTGTACAGGTATGATCAAAAAGTTTCTTTTTACTTGGGAAAAGGATTTCTTCCTTACAGTTCAGTACAGTTCTGGATTCAGATCAGGCCTGATGTGATAATTCCATCATGCTATAAGAAGCTGCTCTGAATTAAACACTAATAAATAGTGAGGGGCAGAGATGGTACCCAATGTTGATGCAAGGATAATTTCACATATATTAAAGTTCCTTTCAGGGATTAAATGGGAGCAATTTCCAGCAAAAGCAATTTCCTATTTTGAATTTTTGCAGTTCAAGACAATAATCAGGAGCTATTGTTCTTAAATTTACAACTCAAATTATTGGTAAAATAGAGATTTTCAAAATCCAATAACATCAATCACACTTGCAAAGGGAAAGGGAGAAGGTTAGCATGCTTAACTAAAGAAATAAAGTTGCTTTCTAGAAATCTGTACTATTGTTGTGGTAGAGGCAAAAGTCATCTCACCTACAGCATTTACAATAATCTGCACTACATGAAAATTTGAGTTGCTTTTTTTTTTTTTTTACAGAAGATCAAAGACTAAAAAACATCATTGCTTTTGTACTCTATTTTTACATCTAAACAGGGTTCCTTAAAACCTTTAAAATGAGGTTAGAGAGACTAAAAGGTTCATCATGCAGAAAATGAAGCATTACAAAGTTCCAAGGGGCTATATACTAGTATATACATACACGTATAACAAAGGAGTCATTCTGACAGAATATGCAGCAAATATGAAGTAAATTGCCCTTTATCATAGGACAGGTTAGTATTGTGGTATTGACTGTCAGATCTCTGAGGCAGGTGTGACAATATAGAAGACTATTATCCCAAATGCATATAATGATATCACTCATTAGGCAATTATTTAAAAAACGATGGATAGCAAGATATAAAACAGGTGACAGTCCTTGTAAAATCAACAACAAATGCTATTAATATATGTTTATCTATACAGGGCTTGGGGCAGTAGTAGCTTAAATAATCATATGAAAATGACAAAGTTGCCTAGCAGAAGGGGGAGAGGGAAGCAAATATGGTTGAGTGAAAACAAAACAAAGTGTGTGTAATAGAAGGCAAAGACAGTGTACTTACAGCAGCCTGGTACATAGAAGTGTCCAAGTGGTCTAGAATAGCAGTGCAAAGGCAACACACAGACATGTGAAATAACAGTAAAGTGAAGTGAAGAAAGAAGCTTGAGCAAAAGCAATTATCAAAGTTCACTGCAAAGGTGTGCATAAATTACACTTTTAATAAGAACGGTGACAGATAAATCAAGTGAAAGCCTCCTCAAAACTTTCATACATTTTATGATCTTTTTATCATAGATATCTTCAAAAAATATCTCCATAAGAATATTAATGGGAGTGTTGAAAACAAATTACTCTCTGCATGAAAACATGACATTAGGCTTGAGTAAATGATACACTGTTACGTATGAGATTATCACACTCAAACAATCTTGAGATATGGGACAGAGCCAGGTATGACTTTCTTATGACAGTACTCACTGCAATGTTCCACAATTCTTTACATTACAATATTAAACAGCTAACAAACATAAAATGAGAAGTACTCAGGTGAGCAAATTTGAAGTGCAAAGTTTAGGACACAACTGATGACATTTAGTTGAAAACAAGGTTAAATTTAACGTATCCATTCTTTTTAAAATTTCTTTTTTAAAAACCTTGTTTTGTTGGTATCACAGCAGTTGAAACTATATAGGTGGGATCACATAACACAAGTGTTGGAACAATTAAGGTAATCAAATATATCAGAATAAACACCAATGCTTGTAATGCACAGAACATTAACAAAAAATTTGGATGTTTCAAAGTGTAGCAAACATGCTTCAATAAGTAATTCAAAACACTCACCCTCAAAACCTCCCTCTGTGTCATCCTGAAATAGAGTTTAACAATAAACATAATTGCAATCATAAATAATAAAATTTAGATTTTATTACTTAAAATCTCCACTACATTTTAAAAGAAGTTAGAAAACAAATCACAGTGCATTTGTTACACCAACAAGTCATACTTACCATACCGTCTTCCCATTCATCCGAGTCCCAGTCATACGTATCATCATTGTTATTATTACTCTCTGAAAATCGAACAAGTCCAAAAGTTCTCATTAACACCCATTTTTTATTCAAACTTGATGACAAATAAAATTATCAAAATATAAGTTTGGAGGTCATGCTTACAGATTCTAAGCATTAGAATGATAGCTTATTTTCCATTTAAATAATAGTGCATTGAATAAATAATACAAATCTAACAATTTGGGTTCTGAAGTAAAAGTAAATGTTCTTTGTTAACTGGTGAATATTTCAAATGCTAAATGCACCCCAGTTACTTTAAGATTATAATAAATAAATAAATAAAATTAAATAATCATAACAATAAGCTAAAATCTATAGTGTTTAATTGCCAATATCACATTCTGAAAATCAAAACTGGGCTTTACAACTCAAAGCAATATGTCTACCAAAGATATCAAGTATAAATCAATTATATATATATATTCGTGTACCTGGCTTGAAATCCTTTGGTGGAGGTGCTGGCTTGCCTATACCTAGCTTGTTGCCTAGTTTACCAATTCTGCAAGGATCAGAATGTACATTAAACAGCTTGCCTAAAATTCAGCAGTGATAATAAAGACACTTTACTGTAGACAAAATGCCCCAATGAAGGGGTGATGAAGTTCATTTACAGCTCTTTACTCTATATATGCAGGGCTTCAATAATGATCTCAAAACAAGGAAAAGTATTATAAAATTTAGAATAAAGAAGTACTAGCAACAAATGGACAACTTTGAAATTAAGATTATTGAAGTGTCAAGACACCTTTAATGTAGATAACAATGGCAACTGCTCACAAAATTCTAGCAAAATTCTGATCTCAATGTTTTGTAATAACATATAAAAAGATTATTGGACAGTTCCCAAAAAGGGCCCCAAGCCACATCAAAAGCATTCTTTGAAAACTGATAACAATAAATCTTGAAAGAAATAAGATTATCTATTAGATTGTTCACATAAATATTTTGGTCTGAAAGATGTATTTATTATCACAAAAATGCTACAACTATAATACCAGAAAAAGTGAAGATTTGCCATCTGTGACTGCGATATATTATCATACAATTGACAAAAATGATAACAACAATACATAGAATGCTGTTTGACTGCTTCATGCAAGATGGAGATAAAATGTAGTTACACAACTTGTGAGACAAAATCATCTTTAAGCTGAAAATGTTTATGCCAGTATATAAATTGACACATATAATGACAGCAGATACTATAAGACATGGTACAAAGTACATAAATAATACATATCAAAGAATGGATTTAATGTGCATCACGAAATGCTCACTGCTCAAAACCTAAAAACACACCCATGACAAAAGCAATAAATTGCATGAGTTTGTGTACAAATAATCAACCACAAGCAAGCACCACTTTTTGAATGAAATACCTCCCAGTTAAGACATGCATAATCACCCTGATCAAAAGAAAGTATTCACATTCTCATAAAAATTGATAAAATATTTATAACAAGGCAGCAAAGCTNTTATGAATATTCATCAGTTCTGCAAGTTTCAAATCAAAAGGCAAAATGGTTTTCCACTTATCGTGTTATCGGTAAAAGTGCACGGCGACGGCGACGGCGACGACAGCGACGACAGCGACGACGGCGACGGCGACGACAGACGCAGATGATGGCTATATGTACAGACACATCTGTGTCTGTACATAAAAATGTTATCTATAAAATGGCAGCAATGACAGATTGGTATTGATGGGATTTGGACTAAACATTGTACAGACTTCATCTGTTTTTCTAAACACCTTATTTTGTCAAATGAGGTGAGTTTTGATAAATGAAAAAATCAACTAAACATCTATTGGTAAACTGCTGTTCTCAACGATATCACAGCATCAGGCCTTATACCAATATTGGTCTATAAAACTGTGTTCTACTATCCAGTTGAACAGTAACATTAATCATAATAAATGCTTATAGCCAACATGTAATCTTCTCAAAAAGATACACATTTCCAACTTTTTAAAGGATAAAAATGCATTATTCCATTAAAAACTTACATTAAAACCATGTGTTCTAAGTAATCTCCATATATGCATGCAGAAAACTATTTCAAAATAAAACATCAATCAAAGTTGTCTTCAAAATGCATCTTACACATCTGTCACTGACACACTGAAATACTACAAACAAATATGGCATGCAAGGTCTTCTAAACAATCCACTGCCATACCTATTAAATTGCTACCAAACCAGGATCATCAAATCTTTGTGCAGATGTTTCATAACAGCATTAAAAAAGGGATAGAAAAATAATTTGATAAAATTGGCAAAACTGTGTATGTTCCCAAAGGGTTGAGGTTAATGATTATTTTCCAAGTTACCCCTCTATATTCAGTTGAGCCTTTTTAATACTACATATGTTAATTAATACATATCTAAATTTAGAATCTAGTACCCTTCCACCATCAAAATAAAAACACAAACAAAACAAGTTAGCCCTAAACATCATCATAATTATATAAGTTATAGCTACTAGTACCGGTATGTAAAAATTTAAAGCTCAGTACAAGCCTTAAGCAATTTTTTTTTCATTGTCAGTCAAAAGTGCATGTTTTTGTGATATTTTCTTGCCTTGCCTATACCACTTGCCTTTTTTCTTAAAGATATTTTGAGATAGCATCTGGTCAGTACACATGTGCTACCACAACAATTCAAATGGTTGTACAAGAATTTTTGAAAAAAACTGTGCTAAAAATGAAAGGTCTATGAATCATTGTCACAGGATTGGTTCTTTTTTTCCTACACAATAATATTTCAATTATCTCAAATTTTAATCAATCATGCAAAGAAATTGGTAGTCATTTGAATCTATTTTAATATCATTAAAAGAAGCTTATTTACAATTTGTAGATATAAACATCCACCCAACGAAAAGAGGAGCAAAAAGAACACCATTCTCTTGGAAGCCACATTATCACCCAAGGGTATAAAGATTATTATCATATGTCACTTTCTGTTCAAAATGAAGTGAAACATGCATTTTCATATCCCAATGTAATAAGCTACCCATTCCAATATAAAACATTGTTTTAAAATTACTACCTGGTCACTGTTTCAGAAAGACTTTCTGACATCTCAGACAGCTTGTCAGAGACAGAAAGACGGAAAGCCAAACTGCAAATAATGTTCCAAGTCCAAATTAATATCACCATAATGATTGTATCATTATCAACCTTACTTCAGTTCTTAATCACAACTTGTCTGCTAATGTGAAGGACTCATATTGTGTTTCAAAGATGACAACCGAACACAAAATGTGAGATTTTATGGTGAATATAAATTAAAATTTTTAATGCATGTGAAAACTAAATAAATCAAGTAAAGGATATTGCAATTACTTATAAAAAGTCTAAAAAGTTAAACAATTGTCTTCTGGTTAATAGTCTGAGTACATATTAAATTGTGAGTTCTGTTTTAATAAATAAATATTAAAATACAAATCCGAAGCACTGGTCAGGATACATACCCTTTAGTTGGTTTGTTTTCTGTTTTGGCAACAGCATTGACTGCCTTAAGAATTTTCCTACAAAGTAAATTAAAGTATTTCAGTATATGTGATTATACAAACTTGTAATATGTATTGAAAATTCTTCATTATAAAAAATATTTATAATAGAAAAACACAGATGTCCTAGTCTCAGCATGTTCAAATAATGTCAGTGCAAAAAAACAGCACACTGAAATAACAAATTCTACTGTTTATCTTTGGGCAAGTTGAATCCTGCAAATAAAATAGAAACTGAGGCATTATTATTATTTGTTTTATGAACTGCCACCAGGTAAAATGATGTTTATCACCTATCATTACTTGTCATGAATGCTTATTAACAATTCTCGGCCTGAAGGGCTCTAAAACAACAATTTCAACAGATATCATTAATTTTGCACATCATCAAGTTAAAGGTGACCTAATTTTTTATCTCATGGAGTGATAAATAAATGACTTGCAATCATCTGCCATAATACATTTTTGAAGCATTTAACAGTTACTAGTAAAAGTAATTTCAAAATGCACTTGGTGGTATTAACATTTTAAAAAAGTTTTATAAAAGGTCTCTACACTAAATAAGAAAGGCAGTGTATAGAGTACCCTATCCATGATAATATCTAAGATTATATTGGTGCATTCTCATAAGTGCCATATATATATATATATATATATATATNCAGAAAATACTAAAAATAGGGCCACTGACAATGATCAATTTTTGCCCTGTAACTACACTTAAATCAAAGTTCGAGCAGGAAACAGTAGATCCTGTCATGCTCTACCATGTACTACAGTAACGACACGCACAAATGCAATTCATTAACCAACTGTTGTTTAAGTCAGATTAAGAACTTGCCTTGCCAATTAAATTGGATTCCTTTATTTTGTGCAAAGCTCCATTGGTTGTCTTTATAATCTATTTCATAATATCTAAATGCACTGGTAAAGCCCTACTAATTTGGCATACACATCAACCTTTTCCACAAGCTCAGGTGTATTCTTAGCTTATCTAAGGGAGATGCAATCCCAGTGGTTGCAAAATAATAATAATAATAATAGTATGTAAATGACAATACATATCAGACAAAAAAGAGAATTCTCATCCAAATATGTTTCCCCAGAGAGAGAGAGAGAGAGAGAGAGAGAGAGAGAGAGAAATCCCCCTATAATGATAATATTAAATAACAAAAATAGTAAGTAGTGGGGTTATTCAGTGTAAAAAAATGGAAAAATGCCATTCGGTCTCTGATAAATTTATACATCAATCTAAAATTGTAAATTCTTTAAACACAACATGATTTTCTTCCTCTAAATCCAATGCCTTAACTTAAAGTTAAACTGTGATTCAGACTAGATATTGGTAGGTGTCTGCTAGTAAAACCACCATGTCATGCATGTCAGTTTCCTATAGATGGTATCAATGGGAGGCAATTTACAGGTTATACTTAACCCCCAATAGGCTATCTGATGTAAATAAAGGGTAATACATGTAAACATATATTTTTTCTTGGAAGAAGTCACCCTTGCTATTTAGAAGTGAGGTGATATTGTTGCAAACATTTTAAAGTGATTAGATTAAATCTATAGAAATGATGCAGAAATAGGCTCCTTTGAATATGATGGAGTGCAAAACAGTCTGATAATAAAATGTCACTCATGTCAGTATAAGCTCTAAATATTGTGTAACATTACTAGCTGAATAAATTATTATTATTAAATAGAGAATCTGGGGTAGCGCTAACACTTGCCAATTTAGCCAAATGCTAAAATTGACTTAAATTGGCTAAAGAAAAAAGGCTTGATTTGACATGTTTTAGCCAAATTATAACCATTTTGATAACAAATTGACAAAAATGGGGTGATATGGCTAAGCGAAAAAAAAATTGCTAGCGCTACCCCAGAGAATATTAAAATCCATATTCCCTAAGCTTGTTATTCTAACATATTAATTTGTTAAAGTAAGTTCATATCTATATAACAAGCAAGTGCATTTTTTTGAAGAAACAACAGTGACATGCATAATCACACTTACCGTCTTTGAGCAAGGGGAACTTTTCCCATGTATAAAAGATCTTGTTCTGATAATTGCTGCAATAGAAAGTACTAGTAAGCATGTCATAGATGATATAGATATTTAAAAGCCTAAAACACATGCAAAATTAAGATGGCATAAGCTAGCTAGGTGATTTGTTTTACTCTCTAAATTGATTCACCAGAATTTATTCAAAAATTCAATCTAATTCATGTTGAAATGAAAGAGGAGTAAATAATTCATAATTTTAATCCTAGTTCAAATTACTGTTTTTCTTTTTATCAAGAGCTTGTAAAATATGTGGGTATTACCTCCAATATTTCTGTGACTGTCAGTCACCATCATCGGGGAGTAAATGACTAGGGTCATTTCTTACATTTCTTTAGATCACTACTTACAGTGGTCGTCTCATCATCCAACCTCGCAAAAACTTAGTGTACCAGCTTCACTTTTCCACCGATGTGAGACCGTGATATCCGATACAGAAGACAAACAAACAGAAAGGAAGAAGATTGAAAAAGACCTGTTAGCATGTGGATATCCAAAATGGGCACTAAAACAAGGGGAAAAAAGAGGCAAGAACAGACATGACAAAGAAAAGGATGCAATGGGCCTCATTGAGGGTGCAAAGCAAAGTATAGTGTTACCATACTGCCAAGGTCTGTCAGAAAAACTAAGCCGGGTTTATAAAAAATATAACATCAAACTCCACCATAAGCCAGGTTGGACGCTGAGACAAGCACTAGTGAAGCCCAAGGATCCTCTAACCCAAGGAGAGCAATGTGGTGTGATATATTCAGTCAAATGTGGAACCTGCCAAGGAGAATACATTGGCGAGACAGGAAGACCATTAGCCACAAGAATGAAAGAACACAAAGACTCAGTGGCCAAAAACAACTGGAAATCAGCCCTTGGAGAACATACCTGCAAACATCCAGGTCACCACATAGACTTTGACAGCCTGAAAGTGATAGACAGGGAAAACTGGACATTCCAAAGAAAAATAGCAGAAGCTGTACACATCAGGACCAAACAACCAGACCTGAACAGACAGGGGGGGTATGATTTACCAGCTATCTACCTCACGGTGCTCCAGAGGGATGCAGAGGAGCCCCGGGGGGAGCAAGTAACAGTTACAACACAAGGCCAGTGATTAGGGGCAATTGACCTGGATTTTCATTCCAGGTGAAATGACCCTAGTCATTTACTCCCTGATGATGGTGACTGACAGTCACAGAAATATTGGAGGTAATACCCACATATTTTACAAGCTCTTGATAAAAAGAAAAACAGTAATTTGAATT